TCAGAGATGGTTTTCCTCCTGGGTACGGCTTCTCAGCCCCCCCAGAGCGCGCCAGGAGGGCCCCAAGAGGCCCCCACGACTGCCCAAGAGGCCCCCGAGACGCCCAAAGGACGCTCCAAGACACCGAAGATGATCCCAAGACGGCCCAAGAAGCCGCCAAGACGCTCCAAGTGGCCTCCAAAAGGCCTCACAAGAGCGCCCCGAGAGGCCAAATTCATCAATTATACGATGGTTTTGGAAGGATTTTGGCCTTGTCGCATTTTCGGCTTTCCGATGCTCCAAGACGGCCCAAGAGGCCCCCAAGAGCGCACGAAGACGGCTCAAGAGGCCCCCAAGAAGGTCCCCAGAGAGCCCAAAGAGACGCCCAAGACGGCCCAAGAGAGCCCCAAGACGGCCCCAAGAGGGGCCCAAGATGGGGACCACGAACCGAAACCTAAAGTCTTCCGCCACAAGAGGGCCCCAGGAGGCCCCGAGAGGCCCCCAAAATGGCCCAAGATGCGGCCAGGAGGCCCCCAAGAGACCCCAGGAGGCTCCAAGGAGGCTCAAAAGAGGCCCTACAAGGTTTCAAAAATATCTCCCAGGCGCCCCCGAACGGCCTCTCAACACACACCAGCGCCTCCCAAAAAAACATCTGGACGACGGCCCTGTTTGGCCAAGAGCGCCGCAAAGGCTTCCTCCTCCGCCCTTTTCTCTTCCTCTTCCTCCTCATATTTATCTTCATCCTCCTCCGTTCCTTCTCATCCTCTTCTCCTCCTCCCCTCCCCCTCCCCATCCTCATCTTCCACCTTCCGGCGGCGCCGAAATGGCCCCGAGCCCGCGCCGAAGCAGTAGCGATCATGCAATACGGACCGGCGGAGTGAGCGAAGCGATGGAATAATTTTAAGACTGTTCGCCTTTATATGCTCGAGTGTCCAATAACGCGTATTTCCCAAACCCTCGATACCCGCCCTCTTCGTCTTCGATCGAACCCCTTTTGGTGGGTATACCTTTCTTCCCTGCAGGCCGGGCCCCGGCAAGCGGCGGGGCGGCCGCGGACCGTCTGCCTGGCCGGCGGCAGCGCTGATCGGCGGGGCGGCCGCGGACCCTCGACCCGACCCCAAGAGGGACGGACAGGGGACCGACCACCACGACGACGACGACGACAACGAAGACGACGGCGACGACGACGACGACGGCGACGACGAGCGAAAGCGAGAGCGAGAGAGAACGACAGCAGGGCCACGAAGGGCACGAAGTAGGCCACGAAGGGCGACAGCGGGGACACGAAGGGAATGCGAACGAGCGGGAGCCACGAAGTGCAGATAATGCGGGGCCACAGAAGGCAACTATGGGGCCACTGAGGGTAGCAACTGGGCCACGTAGGACAGTGAGGGGGACATAAATGGCGACAGCGGGGGCACGAAGGGCACGCACATGGGGCCACAACGGGCGCGACTCCTGGGTGCCTGGGTGTCGGGAGCGCGGCGCTTGGGCAAATTGCAAGAAATTCCAACGCATGGCCATTCCTCAGTAAGTTGCAAGCAAGTCTCCAGCGAGAACGCGACGCCAGAGCGCCGGGAGAGCGGTTCCTGAATAAATTGCAAGGAAATCCCAAGCGAGAGCGCGATCCCTGAATAAAATGCGAGGAAGTCTCGGGCGGGAGCGGGGGTCCTGGCTAAATTGTAAGGAAGTCTCAGGCGGGAGCCGTTGTTGTTGTAACCCGGGGGCCAGGGGCCCAGTTTGAGCATCAAGACTTTCCCTGTCAAAAAAACAGGGCGCGAGCGTCGAGGGGCACACTTTGATGGAGAAAAACAGTATGCACCAGTGGGGGGGGATCAACAATAATTATTCTTCAGAAATGAGAATTCAACAACAACAACAACAACAATCATTTTACCCGAACGCGTGGTGTTCTCCCCAGTGCCAGGGTTTTCATACGACACCAGGCAATACCCCCACTTCGTGGGGGGGCATTACAAGCTCTACCAAATATCCAAACGACTCTTCGCGACCACCCAAACCCAGCTTCCCGCCCTATGACGTTGGGACACTTCACTTCGTGGCGTGCGGACGACCGTGGCTACTACACTGGCGTGGGGTACACACCCACAGAACTTGGTCACTTATTCGGGGCGCGCATGTGCCCAGCATGGTGCAATTGTGCCATACAATACATAATACAGAGAGACGAATGTGTCCCGCATGGTATTATTTGACAGGGATGATGGCCCTGGCAGGTGCGCAACCGTTGTCGCAGAAGTTCGAAAAAGTTGCTCGCAAAAGCCCGTTTGACAGAAATGTTTAAAAAGTGTTGGGTTTCCTACGAATCCGCAAGAGCGCGCGGGATGAGATTTTGACATTTTTTTGTTGAAAAACCATTGGTTTTTTGATGTTTTTATGTTGAAATCGCTCCGAACACTAAGCTTTTGGAAGGATTTCGTCTTGCGCGCGCGAATGTCCACTTTACCTTATTTTTTACAAGGGATTCTTGAAATTTGATAATATTTGAACAAGAAATTTCATTTTATAGTGTTTTTTGCAAGGGAAAGCGGATTACAACAAAACAACCGGATCTTGATCACCTCGAATTACCTGAGGCTTCCTCACGAAAATGATGAAAACGTGGCTGCGGCCTAGGCGCGGCGGGGGGGGCGCGCACCAGGGGGCCCAACAATAATTATTCTTTAGAATTAATAATGTTCAACAACAAACAAACCAACCAACCAACCAACCAACAAACAAACAAACAAACAAACAATCAATCAAACAAACAAACAAACAAACAAACAAACAGACAAACAGCAGCAGCAGCAACAAAAACACCAGCAACAACAATAACAACCATAACAACCATAACAACAACAACAACAAACAACACCAACAACAACACCACCACCAACAACAACAACAACAGCAACAACAACAACAACAACAACAACAACAACAACACCATCAACAGCAACAACAACAACAACAACAACATCACAACAACAACAACAACAGCAGCCGCAGCAATAACAACCACACCAACAACAACACCAGCAACAGCAACAGCAACAACGGCAGCAACAACAACAGCAACAAGACCACCTATAACAACAGCAACAACAACCTCAACAGCAACTGCAACAACAACAACAACAGCAGCAACAACAGCAGCAACAACAACGGCAACAACAACAACGACAGCAGCAACACCAACAGCAACAGCAACAACAACAGCAACAGCAACAACAGCAACGACAGCAGCAATAACAACAACGCAACAAACATCATCCTCACCACGGATTCTCACTTCAGCCACGCACCCAGGAATAATGAATGACCTTTCGGCCCCCTCACCCTGATGACGCCAACGCTGCAGCGGGAACACGATTCGGAACGAGCGGAAGTGCGGAAATGAGGCCAGCGCTGCAGCGGGAGCACGATTCGGAACGAGCGGTAGCTCGAAAATGAGGCCAGCGCTTTAGCGAGAGCAGCATTTCGAACAACAACCCAAGCGCGGAAGCGCGGAAATAAGGACTCGTAGCCTGACATAGCACGGCGTGGCGACGCCCCACTGTGGGGGGGGGGGCTTCTGCGGCCTTAAGAATCAACAAATCGACACCGAATGTGGAATCACTTCCGATGGATTGTTTGGGCGGGCCATTTTTTAGATTTTGGGGCCTGTTTGGAAGGACCGAAAACCATGCAGTGGCATGGCGCTGGAAGTAAGGACGCCAGCTCTACAGCGGGAGCACGATTCGGAACGAGCGGAAGCGCGGAAATGAGGCCAACGCTGCAGCGGGAGCACGATTCGGAACGGGCGATAGTCCGAAAATGAGGCCAGCGCTTCAGCGAAAGCAGCATTTTGAAAAAAGCCAAAGCGAAAATCCAACTCCTGGGAATCCTGTGTAAAAGCCAGTGCGCGGAAGGTGGCCGAACAATCCCCGGACACAAGGGGAGAGAGGAGAGTAGGATTCATATTCTTTAATTGTAGAGATGGGGGGAAAGGAAATGTATGGTGGAGCAGAGGAGGGAGAGGGGATGAGGAGTGGAAAAGAGGGGATGGTGGGAGGAGATGCACCAGAATACACCCAAATGTATCATCAATGCTACCATACACCCTCCCGTTCCCATTCCCCCGTCAAACCCTACACGCATTATTTGTCACTGCGCGGAACGTCCCCCCTCCCTCCCCCAAACAACATTGCCTCTCGTGACCTCCCGTTGCCTCTCACTGCCTCACGCGGCCTCCCGTTGCCTTCCGTGGCATCCCGTGAACTCTCATTACCGCCCCTATACCCATCCCTACCCCTATCCCTACCCCCTTTTATACCTGTCCTTATTCTTTATCCCTATCCCTTTCCCCATCCCGATTACCCCTATATCCCAACTGCGTAGCCCTATATCCCCTTTCCCCATATCCCGATCCCTCATCGTGCCCCCCATCGTGACGTGTAAAGCTGCTTAGGGTATTCTGCCGCAAGGGCGTCATTGTTTCTCCTGGCCCCCCAGCGGATAGCGCGGCTTATTTCGATGAGCGCGCTCACGAGATTCGTTGAATTTGGCTGACACGACAAACGCATGCCAGCCACTGGAAGACACGCCAGGTGCGTGCAAACCTGAACATCCAGCATGGGCATTGCCACGTGACCCAAATGCAGTGGATGTCCATCACCGTGCCCCCTGGCACGCTGAAGCGTGGTGGAATGCCACGTGCTACCTGGCAGGGCTTCGGTTGTCTTCCAAGCGGCCCCCCCCGCCCTGTCGAGGCAGTGTTCTACATGCACCGCCCTCTTTCCCCTGCCCGGGGCTCCCTGAGCTGCCAGACGGCTCCCTGGCGCATCATCGTTTCGTCACTCCTTGTCGCCCCCTATCGTCCTGGCTTCGTCGTCGCCCTCCTCCTCCTCCTCCTCCTCCTCCTCCTCCTTTTCTTGCGCAGGCTGCCGCAGGCTGCCGAGCGCACACGCTCGTAGCGTCACTGTTCCTCCTCCTCCTCCTCCTCCTCCTCCTCCTCCTCCTCCTCACCCGTTCCCCTCCAGGGGTACGAAGCCCTGGTTCGTGAAGACCATCGGCGGGCTCGAACCGTCGACGGGCTCCACCTTCCAAGGCACGGCACGCGGTCGCTCTGCCATGGACGAGATCTGTGCTCACGCTGAGCAGCGCGACAACTCTGACCAGGGAGCGACCCCCGAGGAAGAGAGCATCTGCAGCACCATCAGCAGAATCCTCGGTTCCAGTCCTCATTTCAAGGACGAGGCCTCTGACTCCATGGCATGCTGAAATATCTCTCTGTGCTTGCGGGCGCCAGAAACATCGTCTCGTTGTGTCGTAGTCAGTCGCTGACGCACAACAAGAAGCAGCAACGACGAAGCCTCTGCAATGGCATTCTGAGATATCTCGCTGTGCCTGCAAGCGCTAACGACATCGTCTCGTGGTGCCGTAACCCGCCACTGACGCACAAGAGGCAGCATCCGAAGCACCATCGGAGGCATCGGCAGGAGCTGGGACACAAAGGCGGGGGTGCGCAGGAGAGGGAGCTCGAGCAGCAGGGAGCAGGCGAAGGAGCAGGAGGGCACCAGCTCGTAGGAATTGAACGGGCGAAGAACGGTATGACATAAACTGCTTCGCCGTCGGGGACGCCTGTCCCAGGGCGGCTGGAAAGTTGATACCCTTACGGTGGTACGTCAGCGTGTAAACTTTTCAGCCGACCTGGGGCAAGCGTCCACGACGGCGAAACGGTTCATCATATACCGTCCTTCGCCTGCTACGATATGTGCCTGCGTTCCCCCGCGTCGAGAAACACCTTGCCCCAGATGAAAGCCGAGGTCGACGTTTCGAGCCCGTGGAGGAGTGAAGAAGGGAAGCCGAAGGCAGGGACAGAGAGGCATGATCCCGGACGAGCACATGCCAGGATGGTGCTCAGGATACGTCCCAAGGCTCCCAGACTACCTTGCGACCCTCGTCTGTGGAGCCCGTGCGGAACAGCAGGAAATCAAGGACATCATGGACTTGCCGTCGCTCGGTCGTGCCTTCCTCGTGCATTGTTCGGCTCGTGCGAGCTGTTCTGCCCGATGATCCAGGATGCTTCTCGATTGTCCTCGCCGAGAAAACATGTACACGTCCGAGCGATGCCCACGTGGAAGCTTGCTCGCCTGATGACTGTCCTCAAACGGCGCTTGCACTTCGTTCGGCCGGCGGGATGGCGAGAGCTGCATCCTTGCACCGATTTGCCGCCCCCACCTCAGTGCGCTGCCCACGAGAAAGCTTGAGAGCAGCAGAACACAACTGGCTCAAGCCAATCGACGGACTGCTTCGATGTCAGGCAGACTTGAACATTGATCGGCGGCGAGCCCAAGGGGAAGTGAAAAAGGGCGGGCCTTCTCAGAAGGCTTGGAGGTCCCCCGGCCTTCTGAGAAGTTTTCTAAGCCTTTCCCGGAGACGCAGGAAACCTCTATCAGAAGGCGAGAGGGCTTCCGAGAAGTCCCGCCGCCTTGCGAGAAGGCCTTCTCCTTCTCACTTCCCCCCTCGCTCGCCGCCGAGCTCAGTTTTCTGGTCATAACTTTGATCTCTGGCGGCCGTTCGGGACGAACTGGGCATCCCTGGAACGCTCTCGGCGAGGCGCAGCCGCTGGAACGCATCCCGAGGGCGGAACACAGCCAAGAAACCGACAACGCCCGAAAACCCAGAACCTCGAAATTCGAACCTCGGCCCTGCTCGCCGCCGAATGGAAATGCCCCGCTCTGGCCTTCAACTCTCCACCAGAGGGCGCCTGCACTCGGGAACTCCTGCTCGTACTCTCGAGGGCATTGAAAAACGCCTGACTGAACTTGCGTCCGTGGAGCCGCTCATGCGCGGTCTTAGCATGCGTGCCGACGGTGACCCTGTTGATCAGCGACGAAGCGTTTGACGCCATCCGGGGCATCAGTTTATGATCATCGGTGAGCCAGGTCTTGCAATTTGCCTCCACAGCGCGCTTTAGAAATTTGGACTTGGCCCTGGATTGTCATTGCCGTTCTTTCGACGTCTCCGTTGGCCCCGTGCCTCGCGGCCGGGGCCGCTCCTGCGTGTACCGCTGCCCCCCAGACCACCACGGCCCGGCCCCGCGGGCCCCGCGGCTGGCCGCTGCCGTCCACGGCCGGCCGCTGCTGCGCCAAAGCCACGGCGGAAAGCTGACACAGCCTCGGGCGCGAGTTCAGGGGGGGGAGGCGACGAGCTAGAGGCCTCCTAGATGGGGTCCGAGTTGATGGGGTCGAAGAATCGCGCCGCATCGCCGATGCAGCGGCGATGCGGCTCGCTGTGGAGCCCAATGTTCTCCATGCCGACGTCGCGGATGCATCGCCGACGTCGACCACCCACTCGGGCCCCAGAGCACGAGGGCACCGCACCGAGTCCACGAGCTCGGCGCCCGCTCGCGCAAACATCCAACGCCGAGATATCGTCGCCGACGCGAGCAGCGAGTGCTAGAATCGGCCCCTCAACGATGGGGCCCCGAGACATGGGGTCTCAAGGCGAGGATGCCTTGAGCAATGCAAATCCAGCACGGAAGCCCGTTCTTGCCCTTCGGGCCCCATCCATCAGTGCCCCATTTTACCGCAGGAACAAAAAACGAGGGCCATGACCAGGACTGAACGCGAAAACTTCGGTGTCGGTCTAGGTCAACGTCACTCTTGGTCATCGTCCATTCGTAGATCACCCTCGCGAAACGGCAACTGCCAGCAGATGGACCATGACCAATATCGGCGTCGACGAGATCGCTCAAAATCTTCCCCGATATCCGACGGCGCGAAGAACTGAGCCCTAGACCCCATCCTTCTGCGCCGCTTCTTCGCCTGATCGATCTGTGGTGGTCACGGGGCCCGAAAACCTGGCGAACACGCCCAGCCTCAACGACAAACTGGAGATGCCATGACCTCTGGGTTGATCATGGCCATCGTGTTTCTTCCCTCGATCTCCGAACCCGCGACGCAAGGGCGGCAGCAGGGCAGCAGGGCGGGCGAGGGGAGGCGCGGCCCACCACGAGCACGAGGCCGCAGCCCGGCGCCGGCACCGGCACCGGCGTGCCCGAGCACAGGTGGACGTCGTAGCCTCGGCGGCGCGGCCGGCGA